TCAAGCCATGATGCTGCACGGAAAATGCAGCAGCTCTAAGCTTTCAGGAAGGGAGAAAGTAAACGATAAAAGGATCACTAATGTCAGCCAGATTGGCAATAAGTAAAGAACTCTTTGCAAACGCCAGTAACCACGAGGGATATTTAGTGAAGATTGTAGAATCAAGCCTGAAGTCTTTCAAAGACAAAAACTGAAGATCTTCTGCAATATTTATTTATGACAGTAATACACAGACCGACCTGATGTGCTACCAAACCCAACCTTGCCTGCAGTGGTTTGATAAAGAAAACCATTTAAGTGAATCATTGACTTCTTTCTGTATCTATGCTACAGGTAGCTATTTTTGAAGATAGATTAATGTGCTCATTTGTATTTAAGCCACGCATTTTTAGTCAATTAAAACCCTTCAGATTCCATAGGAAACACAAACTTAAAAACTTCTGTGAGAAGATTTTCAAAAGAAAATTGATAGGATCACTTCTACAATACATTCACGTTATTTACCACTGCTCTGGACTCAATACTATGCTTTCTGCTGCTCTAACAGCACTTCTGTGGAACTTTCCCTTAAGTGGCTCTTAAAACCAACATAAAACTTTCAGTGAGTCAAGCACTGCCAGATCCTTCGCGTTGTTTCATGGAGGAACACTTCATATTTCAGCTCATGGAGTTTCCAAGAGGGCCTGTCTTAATCAATGGGAAAAAGGTTAAGAGCTCTTAACAGTGAAGCAGATAAATACCTAAACTGCAAGAAGGGAGAGCAAAGATCAAGGCACCTATAGCATTTGCTTCTCAAAACCAAACAGGGTAGTTGAGGGCAGTTCTTCCTGAGCAGGATGGGAAACAGCAGCAGAAATAACAACCACCCAATTGACAGAAAAACAAAGTTAACGTTCCACTAATCTGAACTGAAGTAACACTGGCAGGCATCACATTTAAAAGTCATCCCCACATGTCTAACTCCTCAGAAGCCACGCGGCCTAACGTAATGGACAAGAATTGATAGTGAAGTTGGCAGATTGCCTGATGAAGGAATAAAACAAAAAACCCTCTAGGAAAGAGAAAGGGTTTAATTCGATGTATTTCCAAAGGGCTTTGGGAGAATGATGCTGAATATGAATGCTCGGTCATTTTGACTGATGGAGAAAAGAATTGTGTCAGCCTCTAAAATGAGCCAGAGTAGAAAGATCAATCTCAAAAAAAGCCATTCATATGAGCTTATAGACTCTCAGGCAGGAATAAGGCTCAAAATGAAGAGGTGGTGCTTGAGAAGCATTTGAATAGCTGAAAACCTGACCAGACTTCCAAGCAATAACAAAAGAACACAGGAATCAAGCTAAAGCTACAGGAGTCAGCTAAAAAAGTCAATCAGCAAATGGAAACCAAAATATCGGTATTAACCGAGCTACGTTTATTACGTGCTTATTTTATAAATACTAATTTCACCCCACATAATTCCACAGGCACTGACAGCCCCACGGAACGAATCCCTGCAGAAGCACAGCGTTGGCTCACAGAAGCACACACCAAGGCACTGTGCAGCAAGGCTGAAGCACAGTCGTCCTCTGCTGATCAGCAAAGCTGCCGCACCTCTGTCCCTGCTCCGCCTCTGCATGCTTGTGACCCGAGTTCCAGCCTTAATCCACCCCATCCCACCACCATAACCTCAGAGTATGCAGTGAGATAAACACAGCCATCAACAGCAGGAATGACTCTCGTCATCAAGTCTGGGATAATCACGCTGAAGATATGTGAAAATATGCTATGCAAAGACAATGTGTGCAGCAGGAGAGGTTATGAAACTGAGCAGGAAAGTATCTGGGAAATAGAAGAAATCCAGCCATCCAGAAATAAAGCCATACTGCCTTTTTCCCCAACCCCTTCTTTACAGATTCCATATTGTCCAACTGGAAACTGGTAGCTTTTCCCAATACCAGAGGAAGAAACTGCTTAAAGTGAGAAAGATGCATCATCATTCATACAGTAGAAAAAATAAATCATCTTTTTTTTTTGTTTGTGTGTGCAAGAATAAAACAACAATATATTAAGTTCTACCAAATCTTGATGAGAATTTCTTCCTAAATACATTATGCTTAGAGGGGGGAAAAAAAATGATCAAGCTGACATACATTTGTATCTCCAGGGTGCGTCCTGAACAGAGTGACATCAGCTGGTGCCTGCATGCTGAGCCTGCAAAAACATTTGAGAGACCACGCTGGGGCTCTTACTGCTCTGAAAATCAGTGAATCGCATTTGACATTTGCTGGAGCCTTGGAATCCAGAAGAGAATCGTACCCAACACAGTGCAAAAAGAAGAAAACATAATCTGATCACAAATAAGTTGCAAGGCTGAGTGCAAATTAAAAAAAAAATAACAGTATGTATAGAGAAGAAGCACTCAAGAAAAAATAAACTACTGATGAAACAGTACAGTAAGCTATAAAGCAAAAGCTCTTCTTGTGGACACGACAAATTGATTATTTTTTATAACCACCATATGTTAAATTACATTTAGTTTCCAAAGTGCTTCAATTCTTTATTCTGTCAGCAGCAATTCCACTGCTGAATAAAAGTCCCTGCGTGACTCAGGGGGCTGCACCTCCTTTGTCTCAAACATGTAAACAAAGATTTTACTCCACGATCCACTCATATCTTGTGATGATAAACACGGCGTAATACTATGGCTTCCTTGTCAAAGGAATAAAACCCTTGTTTTCTGCCTTCAGATATTTAAAAAATAGGCATGGAAATCCAAGAGATCATACTGGGACACAGAAGAAACAACAGCAACACAAATATAAAGAATTTTCTTATTATCTCTTATCCAGATTAATTAGCATTAATAAACCAGGACACAAACACTCTCAACAGGACAGGGAAGGAGCTCAGCAGCACTGATGGAGAGCAGAAGTAAACTTCTAAAGGCTTTTAGAGCAGAGCAGCTCCACGTGACACACAGCTTCCAACGACACCACCAGACAGACTGACAGCCAGCTGAGAACACACAGTATTTGTACACGAGGCTGAGACTCCTTTTTGCTCCTGGCATTTAATGCAATTTTAACAAGAATAAATTGCTAACAATTAAGTGAATATTGAAATGAACATCTTTCACTACTATACAAATTCAAACTTAGGCAAAAAAAGTTTGCAATGTGTTTTAAAATAGATTTTCTGTTGGAGGCACAATATAAGCAGTGATTTGCATCAGCGATCATCTTAATTAAACAGCTGTTTACATAAAGTAACACTGATTTACTTCAAATGCTGCTTGGTGTCAACAGACCGTTCATTTAACTGTGGAAGTTTCCTTTAGGCTCAAGTCACTTCTCCCTCCTCCAGCAGGCTGCACACAGCTCCTCCACTGCAGACTGCCTGCAGCAAATTCAGTACTGCTATACTTTATACAAATTGTTGGGGTTTGGTTTTTCTCTGCAGAAACATTTTGGAGCACAGTGCAGCCTCCTGCACTGCATCCCTGTGTGACGAGGTGAGGGCAGGCAGCCCTTCTGACCACACTGGCTGCTGCAGAGGGGATAAAAGCACGTGTTGGGATCACTTGCTAGGCACTGTGAAGGGACACGTGCCACCCTGCTCCACATGACACATACCCAACTACATCCTGCTCCTTCTCTTCCTCTTGGGCTTTGATTTGCTCCCTCCTGATGATACAATGACCAGCTGGCACCAAAGCTCTCCCCTGAATCATAAACTCAAGGCAAAAGAGTGAACATTACTGACAAAGCTTAAGCTGTAAAAAACACCACTATAATTGGTGACAGATGTTCAAACCAGAAATCAACAGTTCTGACCATCACCAGCCTCTATTTATTTACTTCAATACATTAATAGGACAAATTTTGCTTTCCCTGCTGTCAACCACAATAAGACTAGAAGTACTACAATGACACATAAAATACTATCCAGCTTTCTACATCCAGTCAATCATCTTTGCCTGGAAAACCTACATGGATGGCATTTCTCTGTAGCTACTTGTAGAAATGTTTGGAGAAGGAATGGAGGAGCACACTTTAGAACTAGCTGAAAGGCACTGAAAGGAGTGAAAGAAAAAAGCAAAAGCACTGCAAAACCTCCACTGGTGAAGATGGGGCAGAAGCAAGTGGGGCTCAGTCCCCATCTCAAACGCTTTTACTTGGGCGTAAATCTTCAACGCGATCAGAATGGGATCATCCTTTACTTGAAGCTTACAGTAAGATCATGCCTTTCTTAAGAGGCTCCATGAGCAAGCTCCTGTTCAACAAGTTGGAAGCTGTCACACACGTCCTGTGTACCCATACAAGAAGTTACAGGAATACCACCCTGTGCACTAACAAACAAGACTGCCTTACGGTGCAGGTATGCAGATATTCACCAACAGATTATCCTGAAAAAAGCAGCATCACTGATGAATTCTTTCTGGGAAGAGCCCATGGTTTGTCTCATGGCTGACTAATCCTGTTCTACATTATTTAGCAGTCAAAACATATCAAAGAAGAATTCTCTGTTGAATAAGCTTCCCAGACACATGCCAGCATTCTCCAGCAATTCCTTTTTGTAATCATCACTTGCCTTTCTTCCATATCTAATGTGTAATTAAATGAACGCCCAACATTACATCAGTGTAAAAGAAAACAAAACAACCAGTTGCATAATTACAGGCTAAAAAGAGATCTTGAGTGCCACACAAAGTAACCTTAAGGGTGAAGGTTCAGCACAGCTAACACAGGACAGGCACAAGACATCCTGAATGCCAAACCCACGACCTGTGTGCAGCACTGCCTCTGCAAGAAGCTTCATCTTTTAGCAGTATTGCTGCAATACAGAACTTGTAAATACAGTCATGTCTAATTCAGGGGACTATTTGGCACGGATTAGAGAGACATTCCTCGACAATTATTTTGATTATTTCTTTCCACAAGAGGACAACAAATGTGCCCTTGAAATCACAGAACATGAATAACATCTTTACGCTTGCCGCTAAATGACACGAAAACACTTACTGAATATCTTTTGTCTTTTTTTTGTGGGGGTCCACCAGACGAAGAGTATCTCTGATAACAGCTACTTTCACTTCTTCATCAACAGGACTTGGGACATTTTCAAACACCCCAGGAGAGAGCTTTAATTCAGAAAGGGATGGAATTATTCAGTGTAGAACTGAGGATTATTGATTCTGCATCTTCTCAACTCCATGTGTATCACGTATGTTTTAAATACACAATGATAGATTACAAAATACTTCTTTAAGAATAAGCAAATATCTTAGTATTTTCAGTATGATGTTACAACAATTTTAGGAAATTTCTCTAGTAACCCAAAATTTAAAGAGAGATTGTTGCCAATATTACCATTTATATTATACATACAAACGTGAAAAAAATTCAGCAATGCTCTAAATACAGTTAAGAAAACTGCAGGGGATGATGAATAAATGTATTTATGACAAAGACGATGGAGAGCTTTCACAATTCCAGTAAGTCATATTCCAAAGGTATAACATTAGTCATGATTTCAAAGCAGAAAATTACAGAGAGCCTCCGAGTTTTCATATGAGCAGACAGCCTTCATATCTCAAACAAGGAAAAAGACCAAAAAACTAATCCTAGACAATTTCATTCCCATATCACTGTCATGTTGAGAGGTCTTACCTCTTGCTCGTGCTCTATTCTCATGCTGGGGTTTGCATTTACTTCCAGCAACATGGGCTTCAAGTTTTTCATCAGGAGAATGTCAAACCCTAAAATCTGTGCATAACAAACAGCGTGTTACTTTCCTTCTATTTAAGGTGTTCTTCTAGAGAATGCAGTGGTCATTCAAAAGTCAACATTCAGGTGGAAGAAACACGTGAGGGACAGAAGAGAAATAACTGAGAAACAAACAACACTGCTGAATCATTACTGCAGCCATTTGACTTCGATCCTAATATCTACTTTCATACTACACCCAGCTCTAAACACTGCATCCACCAACACAGAATTGCAGCATTTATCACAAGTAGGTCTCATCAAGCAACAGCAAAGCTTCGTGCTGCATCATCCAGAAGCTAGGAACTGGAAAATATATTGCTGCTAATGATTGATATCCCATACAGTAACATTGGCCAGCTGATATTTCTGAGGTAAAACTCGGGTAAGAACTTAAGCTGTGAACTCATACAACGCATTGTTCAGGCTGCATCTGCCATTCCTCCTTCCACCACATCGAACAAGTGATAAGCAACAAAACAAAGGGCACATCCAGAAAGTGAATCCATGCATACAAATAACTGCATTCTTGTCAGAAATTCCGACCTACCTGGAAGCAAGTTGGCCCAGGCTTTCCTGCTGGGATGTCAGACTGATAGTAAACTTTCAGTTCTGGTGTCAGTGCAATAATTGTTTTAATCACCAGTGAAATTATATCTGACCAAACCTTTTTGACATCAGCTCCTCTGGAAGACAGTCTGCACAGAATGCTTGAGAAAGTCCTCTTGCTGCCAGTGTTGACATTGTCAGAATGGATGAAATTCCCACTATGGATATTTAGTGAGTAGTTAGTTAAGTGCATAAAAACCTGGTGCAAATTTTTTAGAGTGGGTTCTTGATAGGGCTCTGTACAAAATCTAGAAAGTCCATCTTTGGCTATATAAATCTCTAAAGGTTCCAAGGATTTCAGTAAGACGTAGAGACGAATATCAAACTTCAGCTTGTCCACAAGCAGTGGTTTGCAGATGTACTCCTGGACCACTGCCGGGCGGCTCTGCAGGCTGCCGGCCAGCCTGACGTCGCTGGGCTCTTTAATGAGGTAGATTCCATCCCCCTGGCACCCGCCATCAGGTTTGACAATAAAAGTAGGCTTCCAGGACGGATCGCTCTCTTTCATCATACGAACCTAGGGTGAAAATAATTAAACTGAAGGATGCTAATAAGGGGAGAAAAGGAGCTGGTGCTACGAAAGGCAGAAAATTACGTGTGTCAACAAAAAAGAAAGTAGCACAATCTCATCACAATGGCAGTAAACACCATATTAAAAATATAGAAGATAAACAGTAGTGACAAGCATAAAACTAAACAAACGGACATGAGTAGAATGTTACTAGTGCAGACACAAGGACATTTTCTTGAATAAGCCATTGTATAAACAATTCCAGGAACAACTTCTCAATCTTATGCACCAATGTATGGAATGAAATGCCATGTAACTCACCAGGTCATTTGACCAGCTGTTCACGTGTATGAAACTGTAAAGTTAAAATTCTGTGCTGCATTTTGAAATTATGGACAAAGAAAGGCAGCTTGCTTATTGAGATATACATGCAGGGAGAAAAAAAGGAAGCAGGAATTTCACACAGGTAATTTCTTTTTCCATCACTGAATATTTTTCACAGTTGGATACCCAATGTTAGTAAATCTGGAGCATATTGAGCCATATACAGACATTCAGCAAATATCAAGAGTTTACTAAATAAAACATACAGCTTACACCTGAGCTGCTACCCACCATCACTCTCCAAAAGGAAGATTTTTCTGGATTGCAGCAGAATTCCCACTAGGCCTGACATGCAACTATTAGCCTTCCTTCAGTGGAAGAGAAAGAAAACCTTATCACAAACTCAACAACTCTTACCAATGGCTTTGATTTGTACTAAGAAAATCTGTTTTAAATCACAACAGTGCAGATGCTTTCCTTAGATGTACACACTGTGACATCAAGAAAGAGGAAAGCTGGGGGACAATGTGACAAATCAAAATCTTTGGATGAATGTGCACAGCACTCCACATCTCAAGCCAGAGCAGATGTTCACTGCACTCAGGCATCCCCCATTCCTGTGCTGGTACAGCACCAAACACTGCACTCTAGTGTATGAGCCTGCAAACAGCCAACACCAGCATCCACACTGGGGTAATGCACTTTAAAAGGCAAGAATGCATAGAAAAGTCAACAGTCAGAACACGTTTAACCATTCAACATCCTTCACAGAAATTGCTTCTGCTCTGCAGACTTCCTGAAAATGGTATCAAATACTCCTTATGCTAACAAGTTCTCTGAACAGAAGCACTCCAGAAGCAGGGGATGCTCAGCTGCACACAGCCCAGCCCCAACCACCCCAACAACTGAGCACTGGTTTAACAACGAACGCAGGAAAAGGTGGGTGGCAGGAAGAAAACTGTGATTCTCGAGCAGAACCCTGCAGTGCCTGCTTCAGGCAAGTGACCCATGCTAGAGAATCCTGCTACTAAAAGCCTTCCTACTAACTACAGTGGAAATACAAGATTGATTATTTCAACCAGGGCTTCTCTCATGGACAAGCATCGCACCAACAGAAGATCCTCCTTCAATCAGGTCACTCCAAGGGACAAAGCACCACACTGGAGATTGGGCTTACATAACTGCTTGTGGATAAACAAGCCCAAGTAGATCTGCGACCTTAACGTGCAAAGAAGGAAAGCAGGGTTTATCTCCTGGCCTTTTTACCAGTAAGAATAATCTCCCCATGACGTGATGCTACACCGCATACCGAAGGATTCTTTCTAGCTCTCACTTTGCTAAAGTTAGCATACCAGAAGGGTTTGTGGCTAACCTTACACCTCCACAACTACACGTGCTCTTCTGTGATTCAAGCTGTACAAACAAAGAGCCAATCATGATCTACTAGGGCAGAAAAGACACAGAACCTCTGTGAAGGGAGCAGGGCCATCTGCCTGCTGCTCTCCTTGCCCTTCATGCCTCAGGCTATTTCTGCTCCGCAGCAGCAGCATTTCTTCAGAAAAAGAATAGTGCTTTCTGGGGACTGTTGTTAAAGATGGCCCGGCAACCTGCTTTTGAAATTCTGCATTTTAGCCATCGTTGGTTGCTGTCTGAGGTCAGAGCAAGATGTGCTTTTACTACAGAGGGAGGCCAGGACTCTGTAAAGTCTAAATGCCACGTGCTCCCTGCACAATAGCTTCAAAAAACAAAAGACAGCACATTCCCTGTTCTGTCATCTTGTTTGATGAAGAGAACAACGCATTTTTTCTGGCCAGCAAAGGCAGCAGGAGAATCACATAAGAAATTTGCTACAGGAAAGACAACTTGCGTTTCAATCCAGACTAACAGCGATGTAATATACTTCCATTTGGGGTTTGTGTTCTTTTTAAATTAAAAGCCTTGTGATATGTAATGCACTCATGTTTCCATGAAGTACCACAAGGATACACAAAGGACAGAGTAACCCCACCGATTCAGTAAGAAACCATTCTAAAGAAAGAAAGAAAAAAAAGGACAAGATTATTTGCAGGAAAGGTCTTAATCAAAGCCAGACGAGTTAATTTAATACGATGCTTTCTTGTAATATGAAAGAAGATCAATATCTCATGCTCAACTCTTTCAATTTAAGGGCAAAGGAAATCATTTTCTGAGGTACAGGCGAGGCCCCCTGCAGCTCCAGGCTTCAGCACACATTGAGCACACACTCCCTCCAGCTGTTTGCCTTCCAGGCAGCAATACAGCTGCGCCTCCAGATCTGTGTCAGAAGTGTTCCAGATAGTACTGATGCTTTCTAGGCCATCAAGACATGCCAGAGAGAATATGGGTGGGAATAAGAATCCAGAGTCAGTCCATTTGTCAGCAGACTGACTGGCTTGAACAATACAAGATGGGTTTCTTGATATTCAAGAATATTCCTGAACAGTCATTTTCAAGTTCTCCTTCAGCCATACTCTTTAGAAGCGACATGTGGAGGAAGCTTGGTCAGCCTGAGAAAAGTCATGTAATAAAATCCACTCACATGAAATATTTCTGTGTATTTGGCTGTCTTTAAAAACATGCTAGCCATTCACAGTCATCAGCAAGAGGACAGCGAGGTGTCCAGTGGTGTGAAAACTGGATTCAGTTGTGGATTTTCCTTTCCTGAGAAGAACGCTGGCTGGATGAAATAGTGCCCTACAGAAATGCATATGATGAGCTATTGACAGCACAAAGAATAGGCTATTCATGTCTATAACTAAGAGGTACCCAATAGCTGAAAACCTGATTAAGCCACCAAAAATACCCAGTGCTGGAAATCAGACTGTCCAAATTAGACTCTTATTAAAAATTAATCACACTAGGCCTATTCATCATCTTCGCAGACCACAGAAAGAAGGCAACATGAGAGTAATCACAGTCCTAGTTGGAATCCCAAGCTAGTTACTTTTCTGAAATTGGAATTTCCTATTAAAAATGAATTCTAATCGCATAGATTCCAATCGATTCTTCTGTGAGAAGGAAGGGATGATTACCACAGCTCCCAGGAGATGTGTTTATCTGTAAATCATCTTCCATTATGTGGACACATTAACAGAGAATATTTTAGAAGACATAAGTAAATACTTAAAACAGCCAAATAAATATTTGCTAACTAAAACCAACTTTTCATCCCACGTTAAAAATGCGACTGCCATCTCAGTTTAACCCAAATGACAATGGGGAGCTACATTTTGTTGGCACTTCCCCATACCTGCAGCTCATCCACAGCAAAGTTAAGAGCACAGCTCTGTCAATGATTACTGCCTTCCAAAGCATGAAGGATAAACACGAGGCTGGCTGTGGTGCTTCCAGCAGGAGGGAGGCACAAGAGACAGTGGAAAAATGGAAGAGTTGACAGTGCTTTCTGCTGGTACTACTTCTTGTTTTACAGGACTTCCATTACAAACTCGTGTTAAGCTAAACAAACTCTTACAACATAAAATATAATGTTTGATAACAAGAACTACACTTCTCTCAAACACAGATGGAAAAACATATGCAAAGGAAACTCCTAGGAGCGTGGTGCTGGACATCTGTTATTCTTGGAACAAAAACCAAATTGTTTCCACTCCGGCAACTGTTGGAGCAGAGCAGCATTTACCCGCAGTGCCACCTGCTGACAGAGCCACCGTCAGCCGGCAGCGACACCGCTGACACAGAACGACCCCCACAAGGACCCTCGTAAAACCAAGTGCCCCACTTTGAAAGTTCACTTCCGAGTTCCTTTTGCTACCTACCTGCCATAGCTAAACGGATCATTTGCACTCTTTTTACTCCTTCTGAAGCAATAAAGCTGATGTACTGTTGGGATTTTATTCACTTTTTCCCTTACTTGTGGTGCCATAGCAGTGCCCAGCACTCTTGAAGAGTCAATACGTAAAGATATTTTACCAAAGAAACAGCTTGATGAGATTTAAAGAAGCAATTACTCAGGAAGAAATTCACATACTTCACAGCACATACTACAAACCTCTGCACTGAAGAATTCAAATTAGGCAGGACAGACAAGAAACTCTCCAATGATAATGGGCCCATTGAGATACCACACTGCACACACTGCTGGGCTGGAACTTCCTCAGGCCTTTTACACTCAGTAAAACATAGAGGCACCACATTTAATTTTCAGACAACACTTCCACTATTGCAGAGAAGCATCGTTGTTTTTAAATCTGTCCTAGAACATGAAAAATTAAAAGCAGTGCATCCTGCCTATATCCAACCTCAAGGAAATAAAAAAAAAATGCCATCCTTTGCACCTGGAGAGTGATTTTAAGTAATTTGGTCAGCATGAAAAACTGCATGAAGAACTGCACTGTGACGACACACAAGTTTCATTGCTCTGAGTCAGAGCAGCTCACCTCAGTCACAAAGAGGGGAAACTCCTCAGGCAGAATCCAGGAGCGAGGATAGAAGTTATATTCAACAGGAAACAAATCCTGCATCGTCCTCACTGCCCGGCTCAGCGTAACCTTACGTACCATCTCCGTCATGCCTGGAAAACAGACAGAACTTAAACACCATGAGGGATCCGCACCAAAGCCTCACCCCAAAAAGTCATACCACGATTCACTCTATTGGCAGGCACTAAAGCCACTGCTTTAGTAAAGCCCAAACAGCTTTTAGAATTTAAATTTGACAAAAGTACTTGTAGTGCTCCCCGGACGTATTACACAATGTATGTATTGTCCTAGGACATAAGAAGAAAATCCATTAGTTATCCAAAACGTGGAGCAATAGATGGAAAGCTGTAGTCCACTAGCAGCTACTGTCTTCCTCACAATCCCAAATGACTGCCCTGTCCTGCAAACATTCCAGGAGAGGGAACACTTTGAGGGAACACTCGCATTCATCTATGTAACCGTGTCAGAAAGAACAGATTGGTTTGGGAGCAGAACTTGCAAAGCCTGCTTTCCTGCAGCTTCCAATCTCATGCTTGGATCACACCACATCCAGATGAGCACGAGCTCTGCTCTAAGCTCCCAAATGAGAAGCATTTGGGGTTATTCTTGGGAGTAACCATCAAACTTCACAACCAGGTTCAGGCCGCAGCTCCTCTCTCAGTAAGAGCAACAGCTGTGGGTTTTCTTCACAAGAATTCTTCTTTAAGACAAGAAATTTAGTAAAACCTGGTATCCAGATACGCAACATTCCTGGGGATCATTTCCAGTTCTGAGGGACAGTGTGCTCTACTCAGCTACCACATAGAAGCCAGATTGCAGCAGGGGTAACACTCATGTAACACTGAGATTTAAGTCACCAGAAAACAATAACATCTTCTATTTGAATGTGAAATACCTGGAGACATGAAAAAGTTGGGTAAATAGAGCATGAAGTTCAATGTCTGTGGTTTCTTACTCTCTCAGCATACTAACAGCAGCAATAAATCTGAAGTAAAGGGCTTAGATAAGTCAATACCTAATCTCTTAGTCCTTATTTAGAGAGATCTCAACAGGGATTAAAAGAGGAAAAAAAGGAGCTTAATAAAAGTGGAATAGTCATAATAAGCTGAGAGCTGGCATGAATTCTTCAATATTAAAAAGACATTTGATGAGCTCTGCTTTCAGCTTCTTTCTTAGCTGGGCATACGAAACAAAACAGATTATTTCCAATTTGGAAAAAAAAAAGATACAGCACTGTTCAAAGCGTTAGGTAACGTACAATTGCTGCACACCTCTTTCACCTCAGTAATAACCTAACACAGTTTCCCCCATAAATTCATACGCAAAGTTTCCTTTTCATCAAAACCTCTCTTTGTCCAAAACAAATTTCAGCCCACAAACTGTTCAAGATCCACATTCTGATATTCACACCCCACCCAAACATGATTCACCTACCCAAAATAATTTGGTAAAAGTCCGACCAGCCGGTAGGCAGATGAGTCCCACAAGGAACAGCACACAAAGTCAATGCCGCCCTGTTTCTAACAGCACTTGTTCCACGCACAACCAGAAATGACGTACCTGGAAACTTGTTGACTTGACCTGAGAATATGTAATTATCATGAAACGAGACTCCATGCCAGTAGATATCACACGGCAGGCGCCTGCCAAAGGGAAACTGGAAAACAGATGAGAGAAGTTCTGAAGCAAATTGGCAACACTTCTTCATGTCTGTTTCTCTCAGCGCTCACATTAAGCACAAACCGTCCAAGAACAGCACAAAAGAACACATGCTCTGCATTTCGGTTGCAAAACAGAATATTTCATCAGATCAAGATGCTGAAGTTGAGGATGTTCACCAGGAAAGGTTTGTAAAACCTTACAAACAGCTGTGGCACAAGCTCTGAGAAATCTAGAGCTTGCTATCAAGCACAGTTAAGGCTCAACTTGTATGCAATGTAAAACGCTGTTACAGAGAATAAAGTTAATTAGAAATTTTTACTTCTAGAATGTGAAGGCACAGCAATAGCAAGCAGCTACCACTGGAAGTAAGCAAAGTCTGATAATGCTCTTGCTTGGGTTTCTTTTTTCCTTTCCAGTTTCAGGAGTTAATAGCAGCCATCAAAAGAAAAGACCTAGAGGTCTCAGAGGAATTGTCCTTACTGGCATTAATAAACCAACTTCTGTTCTCAAATATATCACAATGTAACGCAAAGAACCACGGGCTCAATTTTGTTGCACATACACCGAGTCCAAGCTCAGTAAGCCCAGCCTCGCTCCCTGTTCAGGGCACAGGAGCACTGGTCAGCAGCTCTGCTGTAAGTTAATACAAGGAACAGTTGCCATGAACTTTGCAAGCAAGCAGGCTTGCCTTGGTGCCCCAGCTGCAGTACATGTAAAAGGGGTTCCGGAGTCAAGATGTTTAAACAAAGTAACTAGACATTTGTACGTTTCCTTTTATGTGTGTATATTCCTTTCTGGAAGCAATAGTAGTAAAATAAAAAGAAAGCTCAGAATTCAACAAACCATTTGTAGAGCTTTCAACTATTCAGAACCAAAGCAATGATTTCAACTTCGTTAAGGATTACTGCACAAAGGCTGCTAAAAGCAGCAGCCCCCAAAGCAGGCAGTGCTGGGCAGTGCTGGGTTCCCTCAGCTCGCACAGAGATGCTGCACTTCTGACCGCGGCGCCTTCAGGACACGGAAGCTTCTGAGTGAATTACTTCCCCTATTTGCCACTGTAATTAAAACTAAAGTTTTTACCAGCGAACACCTTTGAAAAAAAATTAAGCTGGCTTAGCGGCACATTTCCTATTTCTGTCACATAACTATTTCCTTACTCCTAGGGATGAAATAGCCCATAGAGCAGACACAGAGCGTTCTCTGCTGCTTTCATTACTATTCAGCCCACAAAAACTGTTTTTGTAGAAGCGAAAATTAATTCTGTTCGGCTCTGAAAGACAATCAGTGGCCTTAACCTCTCCTCAGGTGCACCCAGAATACAGATGCAGCACGAGGTCTCACTCAGCCCTTCCGGCTAAAACCTGCACTGTTTATTTATTTATTGAATGAAATTGAAACGAAAGGAACAGAATTTGCATTTATATAACACCTTTCATCTGCCGAGGATATCAAAGCACTTTACGAACACTGCACAGAAATCGTTCTGCAGCAGATGAAGGGAGCACGCGGCCGGGAGGCAGCCGTTCAGCCCAGGATCACTGATTCAGATAGCACAGCAGCTTCACCGCTTCTGACAAATCAAGATTATTTGGATTTATCCAACGCTGGGATCTAATTCATCTCCTGAATAGGCTGGGACAGATTCTTCATCGTCTGCACTATACGTTTGCATAAGAATAGCGTTCGGAAAGGAACCCACCAGTCAGGTCAGTTGACCCACTCAAGCAGCGCAGAGCAGATGAAATTAATTGCATTTGGGTAAATTGGGTCTTCCTGCAGCAGTGTGAAGACATGGGGTGCCCGTGGCTGCAATCTGCTCCTGCAGCCCCCCCGCCACGCTGCCTGCTGCTCTCCAGCCCCACAGAGCCCTCCTGAGGTCTCCTTTATTCAGAGGCAGAGGGCATTTGTCAGGGAGGGCCAACAGGAGCCCACAAAGCAAACTGAACCATTCTCACAACTTTGACACAATCCATCGTCAATCATGGCCAAGCTGCCTGGCAGCTCATTTCTACCTTTAGATTGGAAGCCAATAATGTAAATTGTCCCACGGGTCACATCACTCTGTTCCATCACATTTAATGACAAGTTAGATGACTCGTCTCCTCGTCAGCCTCCCCGAGCTCCACATTTCCAAGTATTTCTCTGCCTCCATGCAGCCCAACAGCAAGGCAAACAAAATGCCTTGACACCAACGCTGGAGGCATCCACTTCTGTTCTCCCGGTAATTTAAAGCTACTCAAAAAATAATTTATTGAGTGAAAAATACAACTCGGGATGCCTGTTAGTTCATTGGGCACATTGCGTCCGTTCGAAGAACACAACGCCCTGCCTCAGACGGTGCCACCAGCACTGCCAGCGCCAGCGTCCCCAGCACACACGGAGCATGCTGGAAGGTCCCCGTGTGCTGCAGGATGGGGCTGTCCCAGCCAACAGTTCAGTTTCCTCAGGATTCCCCTGGCTGGAAAGCAGTTTTGTTTGGGGCTTTTGTTTCAATGCTCTCACTGCTTCTGACAGGGCATTTCCAGACACCTTCACATCTCCCTCACACATCAGTGTCACAGAATAAACTCTTCACCGGTACCAGCTGTATTTACAGTGCTCCTCTCTCTCCTTTTTTTCCTCTGTAGTTTTGTTTGTTTGTTTTCCCCCTTTGGGCTAACGGTGGTATTTGTGTTAATTGACTAACATGCCCTACTAACACTGGATAATGCCATAAGCACAGGGAGCACCTTGCAGTAACAGCCTGTAACTGAACCAAAGCTCCTCTGGCAAATCAAGGCACCTATAGAAAGGTGTCAGAACGTACAACTTACATTTAAGAAAGCTCCTAAAAGCTTTATGACACAGCATGACATTATCCAGCAGACAAAAGTTATCACTAAGAAGGAGCCCACCTCAAAGAGCCCGGTAAAACATCTCCTGCCCAAGAAAATACTTAAGACAACAGGCCCAACAGCAAACAGAGAGAAGAGAAACAAAACAAAAGCAGCAATGAGAGAAACAGTGACAGGAGTGGTGTGAGAGAAGGACCATGTACACCAAGGCACAGCCCAACGTGATCAGCTGGGGAAGTGTGACAGAAGGGAACAGAGTGAAGGACCAGCCCCTAGGACGTCAGCACTGCGATAGATGCAGTAATACCTGCCCCTTTGTTTCACATTATTTTTATTGGTCATACAAGAAACGGTGCATGTGTTCCCTCTACTGATTCTGCTGTAACAGTGAAATTATTTCCCAGGCTCTTTGCCTGTAAGCAATATTGAGTATTACACTGCTCCGTTTCTAAACATTTAGAAGGAAAGAATTCAAAATATTATGCAGCTTAACTCAAAGAGTTTTCCTTGGATTTCTCTTCCACAATGCAAACAGCACCAGTTGCAAGACATCACTAACATGTGGATTCATTACTCCACATCCTGGGGCAGGAGGGTCTGAAAGATTATCTGATTTGTACATTGATTCGAGAAAATACTTTCTTGACAAAAAGTAATACCATCTACATACACATTGATCGCTTTTCTATAAGCAGATGAACATTTTACAGGTGCATATCTGTGATCTGTTTGGGGAGGGTGAGTTATTGGCTGCTTCAATGGTGCAGTCAATGGCACACAGCAGAGAAAGTAGCAAATAAAGAATTAAGACTAAGAATGGACCAGAAGAGAAGCAGCAGACTAAATGGAAAATGCTGACGGAGCTATCGGATGGAGGAGATAGGATACTGAGGAAGACAGCAAACACAAAAAGATTAAGTGATGCCAAAACTGCTGCTGTGGGATGCAGAGTGGGAAGGAGAATGCTGGTAATGCAGTTTAGAAAGGAAAAATAAGAATATAAGAAACAAAGTCAGCTTGGAGGGCAGTAAATCACGCACGAAAAATGCAGGAAACAAGATACTGAGTACAGTAAAACCTCAAGAAATGAGAAAGACAAAGTTAACCGCTAAACATAGCTCATTAACAACCAAAGCTGCAATTTGACTTAAATCAATGCCTAAAAACACCCACTGGAACGGTGCTGATAAAACTTGGCCAAGAGCACAAAAACCACAACAGGGGGACGCCCCGCTCTGCCACCACTGGGCAGGATGCAGCAGAGCTGCTGGCAGATGCACCACGGGCCAACTTCCAGTTGCAGGAGCAGGAGGTGAAGCTTTTGTAACTTTTAACTCTCACCTTTGAGGTGACACCGAATGCAGTGCCTGCTCCACAGCGCACAGACTAATTGCGAAAAGCACCGGGTGCACAGAACCACCTCGTGAGGCTGAAGGAGGAGCCGGGACAAGGCAGGTATCCCAAGGGCAGCGCAGCACGGCACACAGACGGCAGCACAGCGTCCCAGCCTAGATTCCATCCCTGCTCCGTGCCCTCGGCCTTCCCCTCCCAAACGCACTCCACTGCTCTGACGAGTTCCTAGAGATGCCCCCAGACGCAGCCCCAGTTCCTACAGAACTATTTTTAAAGTCGCTGTGGAAAAAATCTCTGCACTTCGAGAACAGCCCAACGGCAGCAGTAACACAGCAGAAACTCAGCATTTAATGACGCGTGGTTTGCTGCAGCTCCGCGCTTCCAGGGCAGCGGTACGGCAGGCGCCGAGCCACAGGAAGGACACGCAGTGCCGTGCCGCGTTCACCTGCTTCACCATCACAGGACGCACCGCGGAGCGGAACAAAACAGAAGAGAGGCGGAGCGGAGCGCGGCCGCAGTCCGCCCGGCCCCGAGCGAAGCCCCCGGCAGCCGCCGCCGCGCCAGGCCCCGCGGAGCCGCGCTCACCTCCCTCCAACGCAGCTGCCGCAGGCTGATCTTCAGCGCCTCCAGTGAGGTCTTGGCCTTGGAGCTATCTACGGTGACCCGGGGCCGCCGTCCTGCCCGGGCCCCTCGCTCCTCCGGCCCGCGCCGCCCCCCACCTCGCGCCGCCCGCCCGGCCGGGCCGCGACCGCGGCTCCGTTCCGCCACCGCCTCTTCTATCGCCTTCCGGGCGGGCTCGCCGTCCCGCAGAGGTTCGGCGGGGAGCGCCGGGGACCCCGGGGGTTCCTCCGCCTCCCGGGCCGGGGCGCAGCTCGGCGGCGGGGCCCCGGCCGGCTCCATCCCGCGCCTCCTCGGCCCGGGCCCGCCCCCCGCGCGTCTCCATGGCGGCGCCGCGGCCCGTCGGGCGGGTCCCGCGCTGCCTCCGCCCCCACCGGAAATGACGTCACGCGACAGTCGCGGCCATCTTGGAAGCGGGCAGGGGTTGGCTGCCCCTTCCGGCAGCCATTTCGGAAAGGTGTGGGGTGGGGCGGCGCAGCCATCTTGGAATGGGCGGTGCGCGAGGGCCGTGTCTGGCGGCGCTGCTTCCGTCGGGCGCTGCATTTGTGCTCCCGACCGCGCGCCGGGGCAGGAGCCTAACCGCTGCCGTCAGTGGCGGAGCGGAACGCGCGGGCGCGCAGTCCGGCCACTGAAGCGCAGCGGGCGGTCCGGCCCCGGGCTGCCGGTGTCCCGGGGCGGGCGGGCAGCAGGTGGCGCTGCGGGCGGCGATTCAGTGCCGGGCCCGTTGTTCACCTGCGGTAGGGCTGAAAAGGAAAACCGAGGAAATAGTTAATATGGGCCCAGGCATCGCGGGGCTTTGCGGCATGGGACGTCCCAAATAAACCGGGGGACGGAGAGGTCTGCTGGAGCTCATCAATGCTACCCTGCTGGTTATGAGACCACGGGAAAATAGAACTTGGAAAAAGGAACGGAACCGATGGAATGTTTTGTGGTTAAGCACGAGATGAACTCGCTGCTGTTGGGAAGGCTTGTTGTGAAATCTGCCTGCATTTTAGCCAATGAATTGTTAGTGGGAAAAAAATACTGTGTTAGAATATAAAAGCAATGCTTAGGGCAATAAAGGCGCAGCTTTTTTCTCACAAGGCCGTTTTTCTCACAAGAAACTTCTGCCGTTTGCAACAATTCGCTCCCAAACAGGAGCTGACAGGCAGACTGGTCTGAAGAAGGCTGAAAGAAGCCTAACAGATGGTGCTGAAAGAAGCACGTGGCTGCAAGAAGCCTAATCATCCCCACTGCTCCGATTGTGTCTTGCTGGACAAAGATAAGCAGTTGTGCACCACAAGGAATAAAATGAACTCGGAACAGGAAAACATCCTCCTTACTTTTCAATGTATCCTAAAACGATGGGGGAAGGCAGCGTCCTCTGCTGACCTGCAACTGATGGGCCACTAGGAACGATTCCTCAGTTACAAATTGGACAGTTTATGATCCAGAAACTTGGGATGGGATCAGGGCGAAACTGTGGGACACGTCAGCTAAAGGTGATAAGGAGGCACCAGTGTTGCTTGAAACGTGGAGAAGAATTTTTGAAGCTTTAAAAAGTCATGCGGGTTCATTGTCGGCTACCCCCAGTCCACCAAGGATGAAGGAGCCACAGGCTCCTCCTTGGACTCACCCACTGTGCCATCAGCTCCCTTGTTGCCACCACCATGGAGGGTCCTCACCACCTCCTCTCCTGAGGGTCCCAATGATCCTTTTCATCCTGGCCCTATAGGTTCTGAAGAAGAGCCAGATCTGTTTTCCCCGGATCCGCATGACATGTGGGCGCTTATTCAGAGGGAAGCTAGGAAAGCTGGAGACACAGATATGCATGCTGAGGGCCTCCGCTGTTACTGTGGCCCTGGACCAAGAGCCGCAATGGGAAGCTTTGTCATGTAATGTTCTGTGAGATTTACGGCGTACAGTCACTGACCGCGGCATCGGCGCCCCATATACTGTGGGTTTGATTCAGTCTATACGCGATAGCTCTGTTCTCACACCACGTGATTTCGAAATGATGTGTCGCCTTATCATGACTGATATGCAATGCTCTGTGTGGGAAGCTGAGTAGAGGGGGCTGGCACAGAGTCAGGCAACTGAGAACCTGAAGCTACCGCAGGGAAATCCACTTTGGGCTGTAGATGTGAATGCTTCGATGGGCGAGGGAGATTTCTGCAGCCCAGTTCAGCAGGCGCAAATACCTGCGGAAGGGCTACAGCAAGCAAAGCATTTAGCAACGTGTGCTCTCCAGGCTGGGCCAGAGGCCGGAAAGCAAAGACAGTCTTTTGTGAGCATTAAGCAACAGCCCTAAGAACCATTTGTGACATTTCTGGATAGGCTTAAGAACTCGTTGGAAAAACAGGTTGATAATAAACAGGTGAGAACTCTTGTATTCCAACGGGTAGCGATTGAAAATGCAAACGCTGACTGCCAAAAGGTGTTGCGTACCCTATAGAACCCCATTACTGAAGATATGATTAATGCATGTATGAATATTGCTACACACCAACATCAGATTACGCTAGCAGCCCAGGCTTTTGCCGTTGTATCCCTTAATCAGCAGCATCTGTGTTATGACTGTAATCAATAGGGGCACATTTGTAAAAATTGCCTGTGGGAGAGAGCAAAAGGCAACGGCACAGCAACTGTGCCCCACGTGTTGAAAGAGCAATCATGGGGCTCAAGATTGCCAGCCAAAATTCGATAAGGAGGGGCAACCCCTTATCGCAGCAGGAAACTCCCGAGGGAGCCGAGAGGGCACGCGATGACAGTAAATGCCTCTCAGGTGGCTGCAGCAGTGCTGTACGCCTGAACAAGCAGAAGTGCCGGGGTGGACTTGGCCACCTCCTCAGACACGACCCTGAATGACACCCCTGCTGCCTTGGCCCCCACTGGAGTCTGTGGACCTGTGGGGAATGGCATGGCAGCAACTACTGATCCGCTGGTCTTCTGTTACTCAGACGGGGCTTTTTATTTTGCCTGTGTTATTGATGCAGACTATACTGGGGAAATTAAGATAATTTGCAGGCACTTTGGTTATAATACTTTAATACTTTATAATACTCCTGTCAAAGAAAAAGCACAAGTTATGGTCAAAAAAATGAGCACTAACGAATGGGAAGGCCCTGCTCGTTGATAACTTGGGGTTGAGGTTATGCTGCTCTGAGGTGGATACCAGCGCGATGGGTCTGGCCAGCCATCTCATCATCTGCTGTAACATGACCGTTGCGCTCTCATCAGCAGTTTGGCTCCCAGCTCAACCAAAACAGAATCTACGGGTTACTCTTGCTAACAGAACAGGACAAGATACGCTTTGTGTGTCAACCACGTCACCAGGGAACCTGTTCTCAACATTCCTCAAGTGAAAAAAGAAGTTGCTCACTGAGAACCACCCATCCATTTCTAACAGTTACAGTTCCTCACCATTATTGATGGGTATCTTCTGTCAGTTGTACTTTCACAAATCAATGGCAATGTTTTATAAAATGAAATGAAGAGAACATGTCTAATAAACAGGTTTCCTCTGAAAAATGCCTGTGTTACTATTATTGTGCTTCTCAGACTGGGTTAAAATTTGTTTACATCAACCTATGCTTCCCATGTTGATGTTAGATCACTGCAGATCTGTGACCCACATACGCAAACAAAACATTTGTAGCATAGTTGGGGAGGGGAGATTTGCATGACAGAACATGATGAAAATATGCATAATTGGAGATGGCACTTTTCATTCCCAAATCCCTCTACACAGAACTTTGGAACTAACCATGCATGAAAGAGGCTTGCAGTTCTAACGGGCAGATTTCCTGGCTGTGCTACAAAGCTGAACCATCAAGACATGAAGCTTCTGTTTCTTGTTGAGCAGCACAAATCTGCTATAATCGTCTCACCAAGCAGAGGCTGTGCTTGCAGAGAAACCTGTGACGCTGACTGAGCAGACAGAACGACGGCGCTGGGCAGCCTTTCCACGTGGCACTTTGGAGCTCATACCGTGCGTCAGCTCCAGAGCCTCACTGGAATATTTTGCTTGTGACTTTTTGGTTTTCTTCAGCTCCCTGATACGACGCAGGGTAGCACCACACAATGTCGGTCACCAGCACGTTTCCTAACTTGGCTCCATATTTATCACACATTTTTAGGACACGGTGGTGCCTCCAGGCTTCACTGGTTAAACAAAGAATCGACTGTATAACTGGTGATCACAAATGGCAGAGAATCATGGAATCACCAAGGTTGGAAAAGACCTCCAAGAATTACCCAACATAAAGCAAACCAGAGGCACTGCAGGTCAAAATACACTCCTGAAGTATCTTCTCCTACCAATTCCTCCACCTTTATTTTAATACTTCACTTACGTAGAAAACTTCAGCAGATATTTGGGTTGGTGAGCTAAACAGAAGCTCAAGATCGATTCATTTGAATGAAGGTTGGACACTTACATTGTTGGGAATAGATTTCTTTGCCTCCCTTTGCTTCCAGACCTTTTTTTTTTTTTTTGCTAGGTGAGACTCCTGCTTCTGAAAACAGCAGAGGAAAAGCTGACACATAACGCTGCGAGCTTGCAGTGTCTTGCTAAGATATGGCCATGCAGAACACCGAATCTGCCATCCCCCTTAAGTCTGTATCTTAACTTTTGATAACTGTGTTTTAAATAGCAGGAGAAGCCAACAAACTCTGCTGTTGGTAGTACTGCTTAATTTTGCTTCTTTGAGTAAAGCAACAGGCAGTGAACGTGTCTGAAACTTTAGAAATCCAAAAGCAAAACACACTTTTTTACTTCCTCTAGCAGAGCGTGTTGTTCCCATCGTATTCTTCCTCTCCTACCCCCGCACCAGCTCATCCTGCTCTGTAGGAGGAGAGAACAGAAGCTGCTTGTTGGTATGATGTGCAGAAACAACTCCCATACTCTAAATGATTGTTATATGTAACAAAGATAAAATCCAAAGTCATTGAAATTAGTGAAAGCTTTTACTGCTTTAATGCAAGCTCCAAACGATTCACCCGCATTCACCCTTCTGTACCATAAAGCCATCAGTAAGTCAGTTAAGTCTCTCTGGTCTTAATTTTCTCTGCAGTAGCTGCTGATCCTCCATTACTTTGTGTGGCCACACTGCTTCGTTCTGTCACTTAACATAAGCAGCACTTTTCTGTATTTGGGCAAATATTTATCTGCTAACAATCAGCAAGTGAATTCGGCTGCTAAATCTAAATCACGAGGCTGTCCAGTGCCACATAAAGTCTGCAGGTATGAAAATGCACTGGAGACATGGCTCTAAAAACTGCACCAGCACAAGCAGTAATGATGCTAATGAAATGGCATGGCAAACTCAGATCTGCTGTGATAGTAGGCATGCAGAAATCTCTCAGATCTTACAAGTGTGACACGGAGGTGATTTCCCATGAAGGAAGTTTTATCTGCTGTTGCTGGGTGACTGTCTGGTTGTTCTTGCCACGTCATTTCTTATTTATCATTTGAAATCTTTGCAGCTTTGCAGTGCAGAAGTAAGTGCTTGAAAAGGTTTGCAGAAGGGAGGAAAATTCTCTGGCATCACAAACAGGCCTCCAGCAAAAACACCCGCGGCCTGATTTACACCACATTCAAGTTACACTGGAGATGCAGTGAATCCATGCAGCGTGTCAATGCAAAGACTGAAACGTGCAAGTGTACGAGAGGAAGAGAAGGAGAGCAGCCTTGGTAGCTTGTGCCTGCAGAACAAAGCTGATAGAAACCTGTTCCCTGTAAGAACACTGGCAGCTATGAGCCAAGCTGTCTCTGGTGCTTAACTCCCACTGCACTCAGGGAAACAGGACTTTGTATGAGTGCTTGGAACATCAAGGCAGTAATGAGCTCAGTGCTCCATCCCATGCAAACACCCACCATGAAGTTTGGCTAACTCTTCACATCAAGAAAGGGTAATGCCAGCAGGGGTTTGTTTATACAACGTCTGTGATCATATTCTGTATAATGGTTTAATTCCATGTCTTTGCCAGTTTTGTTATCCAGAAGAATGGACATAGAGCATTTCTTACCTACAGTGGAGTCAGAGAAATTTCTTTTCCCAACAAAATAAAGTAGAAAACTATTAGCTTCTTAAGCTGAGCAGCCTTTGAGCTCAATCCTCAGACACAGATCCAAACCATTAACCTTGGAAGAGCTAAGCCCTATGAAAAGTTCATGGAAGTTAATGAACACGGAATATTAAACACCTCCATTCAGTTGTGATATCTGGCACTGCAAGCTTTATTAAATCACAACTGCTTTATTTTTCCCAGGATTCCTGTGAGATGTTTCTGTCCCCTGCCTGAAGGATTTCATAACATGCAGGATACTGAAATTAAAGGACCATTCTTCTAATCTCATCCTATCTATCAGATAAAAGACTTGAGTACCCCAAGCGAGGACCGCACGCTCCCACGGCATGGGAATGCTCCTGTGGCAACTGGAGGGCAGTGAGGAGCAGCTTCCAGCAGCTCAGCACCCGACGGGTTCATGCATGCCTCAGTTAAAATGCAGTATTGCAGAATCCATGCAGACACTCGCTGTCTTTAGGCTTCTTTCCCTTACTGGTTGTGCTGCACCGGCATTGGCATCAAAGGAAAGACAAGCACAGGCTGCCAGGGCGGCATCTCCCTCTTTTAGGGCTTAGGAGAACCAAAGGATAGAATCTTGTTACAGCAGTCCAAAGCCTTTTGCACGCAAAATCTAGGTTCTTCATTCAGGTCAAGAGGTATTTTTTAATCTAAGTTTGGACAAGGTGAGTGCTGTGCAAGGTGTTAAGCAGATGCTTAGCGACAGCACACAGACCACAGCACGAATCAGAACTGCACTGACGCATCTGCAGGTGAGATGTGTATCCAGACCCCTTTGGAGCTGTGCTGAAGCACCAGCACTTGGATATTTAAGCGGAATGGTAATGTAACATTATAGCCTGTCTGGAAACAGAAAAGCTCAGTGGTGAGGCTGGCCACAGAACTCATGAGCACCATGCCCACGGTGCCAGAGAGAGCCGTTAATACCACCAGCTACTTGAGCATGTCAGCTCACGGTCAGTTAACCAATATTAATTCCTTGGGCTTTTTTCTCACTCCCTTAATTATCAGTTTCTGGATTTTGGCTCTTGTCCAACACCCTTCTGACTTGGGAGTCTTCAGAGATGCCAAGAAATTAAGTACTGTTACACCCATGAGTTGGGGGCAGGGAGCAGCACACCCCCCTTACCACGGCCAAAATTTTCTTTCTGCTATGAAAGCCACACAGAAGTGGCACCCAACAATGCCCACACATCCAGCTGGGTAATTATTGGTATAACAAGAAGTCAGTTGGAGCAAATGTTACACCCCAGCCCCTTGGGTTCTGCACAGTGTGTCTCTCACCATTCCTGATGTCAGTGAGTGTGGCCCAGGAGCTCCCATCACAGCCGTGCAGATGTCTGTGCCTGTCCGTCCCTGTCTGCCTGTCTGCCAGCAGAGTGATGCTCGGTATGTCAGGCACTGCAGGGCACAGCAGAGGGGCTCTGCTCTGCCAGAGATGGGGCTGGAAAGGACACACCTCGTGCACAGCAAAGGCCAAAAATTCTGATGGGACACTGGGTCAGTCGGTGGACATTAGCTGAGCAGCGGGCTTTGGAAAGGGAGCACGTGCTAATTACTGACAAAGCTAAGTCACGTTAAAATGGAGTAGATACCATTGCTTTAGCCTATCATTCGTGCACAGAAGTTGCAGGGAGATCTTAGACCATTCCGAACCGTCCTTTTAGAATTTCTAACAAGAGAAACGGAGCGGGTGCTGCTGAAACGATGCAGCGCGACATGAACAGTCAAAACCCAGCAAACCCCGCATCACGACGAGACTCCATCCCCAACGCCTCTCGCAGCGCAGGGCTGCAGCTCTCAGCCGAGGCGCCAGCACCGCAGCAAGGCTCGGCGTCCCGCACAGCCCCGCGCTCACAGCCCTGCGCGCCCCGCGGCGCACGGCCCGGCCAGGGCAGCACCGGCGGGCAGAGCCGCGCCAACACAGCGCGTCTCCGCGGGGCGCCGCTGAGTGCCGGGCGCGTCCCGAAGCCCCGCAGCTCCCGCACGGCACGGAGCGCCCCGCAGCCCTCCGGCCGCGGCTCCCGGCGGGGCTCTGCCCGGGGCGGGGCGGGCCGGGGCCGAGGCTGGCGGCCGCCCCCCGCATCACATGAGGGAACTTCGGGCCAATGGCGCGGCGGCGAGGGCCGGGGCCCCGCTCGGCTCCCGCGGACGCTCATTCAAAACGCGGCCGGGCTCGGGCTGCGCCAGCCCCGCGCCCCGGCCGCTGGGGGGCTCCGGCCGGGCGGGGGCTGCGGGGCCGGGCGATGCCCGGGAAGATGTCCCGCACCGCCGCGGCCTGAAGGCGCCCGCCCGCCGCCGCGATGCCGGTGAAGAACCGGTACAACCTGGTGGACGATGGCTGCGACTCGCGCGTCCCGCTGCACAACGAGGAGGCCTTCCAGCACGGCATCCACTTCCAGGCCAAGGTGAGCCGCGGCCCGGCCCCGCTCCCCGCCTTCCCTGGCCCGGGGCGGCGGCGCGGCATCCCGGCGGCGGCCCCGATTGGGCGCCGTGCGGTGCGGGCGCCCCGTCCGCCGGAGCCGCGACCCCGAAGCCCGCGCGCGTGCCCCGCTCCGCTGCTCACGGGAACGCGGCGATCGCCCCGCGGCCGCCACTGCCGGGCTCGCCGTACGCCCCGCCGGCGCAGCGCCCGAGCGCAGCCAGCCTGCAGCCGAGCGCCGGGCCTAGGGGTAAGCGCCAGGCAGCCGCGAGAGCTTCACGCCTAAGGTCGCAATCAAACAGGTCATTCCTTTCTTCCTGCTAATCTTTTCTAAGGTGTCTAACGCTTCCTCGCGTGCCTCCTTTGAGAACCGATCGGGGCAGACCCCCGGGCAGGGACCCATCCCGGTTCCGGTGCCATCGGCAGAACCCAGCGGGCATCCGAGCTGTTTGTTCCCTGTGTGAAAAGCGTGGCCGGGAGGTCTGCACTTACACGCACGGTGTGGGGGTTCAGAAATAGGGACGCTGTCAGAAAGTTCATGCCGATCATTCAAGGTGTTTTGGCGTTGCACCACCACCGAGTGAGCAACTTCAGCAGGGCTGGCACTGTGCAGGCAGCGCACGCCCGAGCCCTGGCACAAAGAGCTGCATTTGCTGGAGCAGCTCTGGGGTTTGCTGCCCCTCTGTGCAGGTGGCCAACACTGACAAGGAATGGAATCCATGTCTGCTGAGCTGAAAGAAGGGAAATATATTCAAATAAAAGCTTTGAAATATGGATTTTGTGTATTTTAGTTTTCCTGATAAAAGAGCTGTAAGGCTTAAACAGGATATAGGATGGATCTGGACAGGTGATCACATACTTTAAAAGCCCCTCTACCTTAGCAGAGAAAGACAATTAATCTTCGGCTTCTTTTAATTTAAATTAACACTTGCTGTGCCACACACCACACTGAGAAGAAAAATCCTTGTTTTGCTTCCTAGAGCGTGAGCGGGCTGCGCCTTTAACTGAGCGAAACGGGCGCCTCCAGACTGACAGCTTCAGGCACCGGAGCTATTCTGAGTGTGCAGGGCTGGGATGGGCGCACATCGCCTTAGCAACTGCCCGCTCAGTGCTGCTCTGCCAGGGCTGCTCACCGGGCAGCTCTGAGCGCAACACGGCTGGTGGGCAGAAGGTGCGGGGTGTGCGGCCGTGCAGAGCTGCTGCTTGTGGACCGAGCGGGTGCAGCACAGTGGGCTCTGGCTGCTCTCCCTCTCCGCTGCCCTCCAGCTCTGGCTGCTGCGGTTTGGATCTCCTGTGGTTTACCAAAGGACACGGCTGAAGCGGCTGCTCTTAAAAACGCTATTTTGCAAAAGCATCAGAAGAAACGGATGACCTTTCAGATTGCCTGCGGTGTTTGTTTCAAGGCAGATAACAGAGCAATAAATACTGAGCCAGGAGAACTCATCTCTGAAAATCTCATCTCTGCTATGCAAAAGTTTTCAGGTGAAAACCCATTGCAAGCCACAAACGTTACAGCAGAGAAATGAAAATAGAACTGTCAGTAACAGTGGTGGTCTCCCAAGAGCAGCCCCATAGCAATGTGGGCTCTGTTCATGTGTACGTTACTGCACTGAATGTTTGCAGGGCTCTTCCTCTCCAGGAGGAAGAAGGGCAGCAGCAGGATGCTGCCTGCATGCAGGACTCCCCTAGCAATCCATGTGGCAGCACAGCACATTGGCACAGCACAAGGGAGCAGGCAGCTGGCAGCAGAAAGGTGCTGGAGACACATGGCCACCTCCTGTCTCACCTTTCAGCCCCAGAGCAAGGGGTGCTGCTGCCTGCATTGTGTGTCCTGACAGCTCATGTGTGTGTGCAGCTCAGAGCTTCTCAAAAACGGATTGGGGAGGAGTGACAAAGGATGCATGGTCCCATTTTCAGACCCACAGAACTGTGGCTTGATCAGCAGCAGATATTGCCCTGCAGAGCACAAGCAGAGGCACACCCAGAACCTGAGTGGGGTAAGCCCCAGATTCAGGAGCCCTGTGACACTCCTGACTTTGGTAACATTATCCACAACAGGTATTCCTACCAAGTCCGGTGCCAAAAGACTCTCACTGAGCAGGGACTCGTCAAACAACAGATGCTGTTTGTTTTGAAGAAGCTTACACCATTAACTCGTGCATTACTTTACAGACATCTCACCTTCTGTCTTTCAGTACATTGGTAGCTTGGACGTTCCCAGGCCCAGCAGCCGCGTGGAGATTGTGGCAGCCATGAGACGGATTCGGGTAAGTCCAAAAGCACTGACCCTCACCTAGAATAAAGGTTACACTCACTGGAGTGATATGGTTGCAGTGCGCTGCTCTGCATTTCCCTCCACCTCCCCCTTCCTCTGTGCAGCTCAGATCTCAGCAGTCAGCACTGTAGTGCCTCCCTAGGGACTCCTAAGGCATATCAGGACAGACCTGCCCCCGGTGCTTTGCAGATGGATCGCTGGTGGCAAAGCCCAGACACAGACACCAGCCTCTGCCGAGCACCTGTGGGGTTGCTCCTCGAACCTCAGACTTATTTTGCCCAGTCTTTGTACAAAAATGGACTTGTACACAATCTGCTCCACAAAAGCACTCCAATTCACTGCCAGTTCTAGATACTTTTTGTTATTATATACTGAAGCATCAGTGGCCTGGCAGATGTTATGGATGTAAATCCCATTAGGCAAGACAGCGGATTCTGCTGCTTACAGAATAATTTGTTGCTTTTTCCCCATTCTCCAATGCAGTTTTGCAGTTCCTGTTTCTCATCAAGTCTGCTTTCTTCCTCCTCTACTCCTTTATTCTTCAGAGCAGCCCGTGAGCGGTCACCAGATTCAGCAGCGATTGGTAGTGTGGCTACATCTGCTGCACACACAACCACTTCACATGGCGTGCCCCAAAAGGCCGTGCTGCTGTTTGCCTGGCTGGAGTTTTACATACGTCTTAAATCAGAGGTTGTTCATGTGTCTCACATCAGCTGAGGCAGGTCTGCAAATCTTCCATTTAAAGCTTTGAAGGGATTATCCCATTCCCTGCCCTTCCCCCCACAGTGTTTAACCATCTAATTTTCATTTAGAAAGCGCTTTTTAAATGTAGCCTGCAAGTGGCTGGGGAACTGATGCATTCATCTTTAGCCAGGCTCAGAAATGCCTTTCCCCTGCCTGTGCCTGCTCAGACCGTCAGCACAGCTCTCACTCAGAGCAGCGTGGCAGTAATCTGAGCTGCCTGGTTATTTACAGAGCAGGTGAGCAACAACAGGAAGCAAAGGTGTGGACTACTGGAGCAGTGCAGATACTGATGTAAATAGCACTAAGTTTTCATCCGAAAAGTGGCTTCTTAGTATCTTTAACCCTTGCAAGAAAAACCAGACATTGTTATAATACCAGTTTCCAAACAACGTTACACTCTCTTTTCACACCTGCTGTTGCCTGGATGGCACAGGGTGCAGCTCAGCGCCTTGGCAATGCGGTAGCACACTCGGGTGCTATACAAGCATGTACAAGGCACGTGACAAACCACTCTGCATTCATGTGTGCCCTCAATTAATCTCATCACAAAATATTTTTAAAGCAGGCATCTTGTATTCTATACTGGATTTTTAATCTTGGAAGCCCTTTCCAAGAAGGGAGGGCTTCCCTTTTCATGTGCACATTGTACAGCAGGATCTCATTCAGACACTTCCTGGCTGCTGAGCGGAAGATGCTCCTCTATTGAAGATACTTAATTGGCACTGATCCTTAATTAGAGCATAAAGAATGAACTGGGAGGTCTTTGAAGGGAATTCTAGTGCACAGAGTACACAACTTAGGAGCGGAGGGAAGATGGGGGTTATTTATGTAGCATCATTTGCATGCAGAGGCCTGGTCTTTACTGGAGTTTTTTCCCATGGACTCTTCAGCAGCACCAGTTGTAACTGGGAGGAAACACTGGAAGAAGCTATTGGTGGAAACTAGTGTTTTGCTACCATCCTATTGTAGGCGGCAGTGCCTGTTTGCACTGCAAGAGCTAGAAGGGTGCCACAGCTCTGCCAAGCATTGGCAAGGGCATGTTCTGCTGAAGCTTTCATCCTTTGTGCGCTCCAGTGTTCAATTGGAATTCTCTATTGGAACAGAAGAGAAAAGAGGCACAGTACAGGCCCTAGCACAACATTTCCTCTGCTGCCCTATGTGCCCTGTGACATGGGAGCAGGCAGAGCTGGCAGCCAGCTGGGCACAGGGCGGCCCAGGCTCCAAAAGGGAGCAGGGAGGAGGATGAGGAGTCCCAGCCCTGCGTTTTTCCCAGCCTTTGACAGAGCTGGTTGCTCTAGTTGCTCAATAGTAAACTAATACAGGCTCTGCAGCTGCCTTCCTCTCCTGCCTCTCACGCTGGTCTGCAGTCTGTGATTAAAGGTTTTTGCCTCAGGGAAAAAACAAGAGGGACTTAGCACTGACTGAGCTGTGCTGTGAGTGAGATGAGACAGAGGGTGAAAAAAGTAGCAGCTGTACTTGAGAAGTGCACTCCTTGGCTGCTCCTTACTGTCCTGGGTTTTGTGCTGGGCTCTTTTGCCAGCTGCACATGAATTATGCCAGGGAGCCAAGGTGGGATTCTCTTGCAGACCTCGGGACTGGTCTTATCACATTCTGTGCTCCCACTGGAGGAAATGCAAATGCAAGAGGTGGAGCAGAGAAGTTGCTGGTCATAGCTCCCCATTATGTAGAGCAAGACAACTTCACATTTGCAATTCCTCCCGTGGATTATTAGTTGCATACTGCTGCCATGTTATTTTATGATCCTTTGAGTTCAAATTAATCTCTACCTCCTCTTGCCCTGACAGGGGAGGTGATGAAATTAGCTTGCCACTTGAATGAGCGCACTGTGCTCTGACAGGCAGATCAGGTTCCAGGTGGTGGCTGTGAGAGCCCAGCTCCCTGCACAGCACAGCCAGGTGCTCATGGCTCGTGGGCAGCATCCTGAGCAGCATCCACACCTGCTGCTGCTGGCCCATGCCACACAGGGCCGGTGCCTGGCAGCACCCGCTGGGGCTCCTGTATTCAAAGCCAGGATGCCAGCACCGGCTTCCTGCTGCAGCGGATTCATCTGCAGATCTTTGAGCTTTCTCAGCACTCTAAGGAACTTATCTACAACACAAGACTTTTCTTCCTGCAGAACTCAAATGGCAGCTAATGGAAAGAACATGAAGTTCTTGATGGTCCAGATAGCTCCATGATTCAGCAGGGTCACCTTCTCCCTGGATGCTCTGCTCCTGGCTGCCTATTAGATGGGAACTAAATGAGCGAGTTCCTCCCTTAGCCAGGTGAAGGCTCTCACTGAAGTTTGGAGATTTGGAGCACTGGCAACATTGGAACAACAGTGCCAGGAAAGCTTCACTAACAATGCTTCTGGGCATGGCCTCAGGGTAGGGATGAGCTCTGTAGAACACACACAAAATCTTGCTCTGCGAGACTGTGGAAAGAATGGCTTTATGTGGAAGGCTAACACTGCAACATCTCCTGCATGCTTTCCCCAGCTCCCAGCACTAACACTGCCTGAAGAAGGCCAGCTGGAATCTGCCTGCAGCAGCACCAGTGAAGTGCTGCTATCTGAACGGTCCAAAGAGCCTTCAGGAGAGGTGTCCACAGACACCAGGCTACCAGCAGTGCCCCAGTCACTCCACTTAATTACCTCCAAAGCAGAGAGTCAGCTTCTCTGGAATTTGCACTTAGGATTTTACAAAGCCTAGAAATTTCAGGGCTGTCTGGAAGGCCTGTCTGAGACCTGAGCAGGAATTAACACTATAAAAACAGCCAGACGTCGAGCTGCTTATTCATTTTAATCATTTCATAAGGGAACGGGCTACTGGTGCTGGGCCCATCCAAGCACTAGGATGAACAAACAGGAGGCAGGAATCTCATTTCTTCTGTTAACTGCCATATTTCTTAGGCTTAATGTAATTGAGAAGCCTACCCCAGTGTCTAGTATGCCAATGGAAACATTTATAAATCTTAGCACAGGACACATCTGAAAGGCCTGAGTTCTTGGCACAAGAACCAGGTTCTCACTCCAGTCTCACCCTCATCCTAATTCTTCTTACTGCTCTCGTGCTCTTAAATATAGACTCAGCATTTTGCCATGACAGTATTCTAGTGAGAAAGTTCAGTCCAACCCACACAGTAAATCATATCAACTGGCCAAATATCAGCCAGGAGCTGAAGCATGACATGACATCAGTTTATATCCAGATGAGTGGAAGTTAAGAGTCCTTCAGACTCTGGTAAAGCAAAGGAGCAGAGATCTGCCTCTGCTGCACTGCTGCAGCTCCCAGTCTGAGGGCTGGGTGGACGTCATTGGGCAGCTCACAATGAGAGCCATGCCGGGCTGTGAACTGCAGTGGTTTGGGAGCAAATAGAGGTGTCATTTGTCTGCTCTTGCTACAGAAAAGGAGGAACCAAGCAGACAGGTGGTGGAGGGCAGGGTGACTACTTCAGCCATCTCAGCTTAATTCATCCCTGAGTGGTGGGACTCCAGAGGTAGAGATGTCTGACTGACCTGACAGTGGTATTCTTTTAGAGCACAATTCCTTCAGTTTCCCTAGGAAAACTCACTTCTTATTGCAGAAGAGAAGTTAGCCAGGATTGCTGCTGCACAGATTTCTCTGCCTGTGTTAGAAGCTGAACTTACAGCGGTCAGCTCAGCTTTCTTGGTTAATCCCTGCAGCCTCTCCCATTATAATTAAATGGTTGGCTCTGCTGCAGCTGAAGCACAGGCTCACATGTAAGAGTCCTCCCATGCAGTGGTGGAATGCTTGCCCTGCTATAGACCTATGTAGCTGCTTGCCAGGATCTGTTGGTTTTGGATGGGAGTCATTCTCTGCTGCAGTTCCTGGAGGGCTTTTCTTTTCAGCCTCTTTGGAAGAGCATCCAAGTGCTCAGCTAATGACAGCCCTGGGCCCTGAAAGAAAACGATGCCAATGTCTTAAATTATTTCAGCAGTCTTCAAACTGGCCATTAATTCTCAGAATGCCATACACCCTCCTTTCATTTACAATATGAGTATGCAGGAAAAATGGGTGATAGTTCTTACACACTCAAGAGTGTGAAACACAAGCATCTCATGGTTTGCTCCAAACAGGCAGCACAGCCTAAGCCAGCTAAGGACACAGCTAATGCTGTGGCTCAGGGAAGTGCTCCATGCTTAGGTTGGTAGCCAAGTCCCATGCAGTAGGTGCTTTAGGAGAACTGTCAGGAGAGCAGGGCCACCTCAGTTCACACAAACCTTTA